CAAGCGAGGGTCAAAGCCTGACCTCAGATCCACCACCTTTCCTCTGCCTCGTTGCTATGACTCATGCAGATCCACCAGGTAAGGGTTGTGCTTCAGAGAAATAATCAAATATACCTGCTACATGTATACGCAATATACCAAGAAGTGTTTGTGGTCTGTGAGTGGGACTGCTGCTCTCGTCTGTGAGTCATGTTCCTCTTTTCATTCATAATCACACAAAGCAGAGAGAGCGTCACTGTGAAGTCACTAGAGACAGGAGTAGAGACATCAAGAAGGTCGAGGAAAACATGGATATTATCACAGGCTAATGGGATTTGTGTTCCCACTGCATGGTGGGTAATAACACAGCGGTGAGTTCTCGTGATTGTTGAGTTCTGCTTCGTGGCTGTTTTTATTTTGGGTTATTTAAAAGATCACTGTGGCTTGTTTGATGGTGTAATGTAGTGAAGTGTACATATACTATTTTAGGGTACTTTTACTTGAGTATTTTGATTGTATGCTACTTTATACTTCTACTCTACTACAATTTGGCGGCCAATATTGCACTCCACTACACTTATTTGACATGATTAGCGTGTGGTGCAGTGGGTTGTGCGTTGGTGTTTGGATCAGGGGGTCACAGGTTCAAACCCCACTGCAGTCAGCATGTCGTTGTGTCCCTGGGCAAGACACTTCACCCCAAATTGCTCCTGTGGGGATTGCCCACAGTATTGAGTATGTAAGTTGCTTTGGATAAAAGCGTCTAACAAGTGACATGTAATGTAATTAGCTACTTCACAGGCTAAATAAACTGTAAATGAACTAATGAACAAACTATAACTATAGGCGCTTTCACACCGGAGTACTTTTCCCCCCGAACTAGGCCGATAGGGGGGGGGGGGGGGGAGATTTGGTTTCACACCAAAAAGGATCTGGAACTAGTCCCTAGTTCGCGCGAACCTTTTCACCCCCAGATAGTCCCTGCTAGCGAGGTAGTACTTTCCTGAGGAGGAAATGGTTCGTGGGTGTGTCGGCCACACAAACAATTTCTGATTGGCTGGGCGAATTGCAAACCACGCCCCGTAAAACTCGGAAAAGTTTTGTGAACCCAAAGCAGAAGAAGAAGAAGAAGAAGTGGCGTCAGCGGCTTCATTTGCCTAATCCTCCCTCAGGGACTTATTCCGGTGAGAACGCGATCTACTAGGACAGTTCGAGGGACTAAAGAGTTCGGGGGGAACAAATAACGGGGACAAGTACCGGCTAAGTACTTGGTGTGAAAGCGGCTTATAGGTTAAGATATCCGGCAGCAAAATATAAAGTAGCTCCACCTTTTACCAGCTTTGATGAACACATTAATGCATCAAAAAGTCCTTTATATATGATTCTAAAATGGGACATTTAGCACAGTAAGTACTTTTACTTTTGGTACAATAAGTATTTTTTAATGCCAATACTTAGTAAGATTTTAGATGCAGGACTTGTACTTCTAACAGAGTATTTTTACAGTACAGTTTGATACTTTTCATGTGTTTCTAAAAGCTCTCAAGAGTCCCATTCACTGCTAGAAAGTGCCTTATTATCCGTGTTAATCAACCATGCATTTCATCTGCAGCTTTTGAAAGTAACACATTTGAAAGCTTTTGAGAAGCTGTTTTGCATGGTGTGAGGGGGGAGAGAGGGTTGCTTTTGCAGTCAATTAAACATATATGCGTCATTTTTCAAGCTTCAAAATCATTATTGTAGCTGAATCAGTGATGATGTTTCCTGGCCTTGTGTAAAAAAGCAAAAAAAAAAAGTATATTATTGATTTTAAGATTCATATACAATGGTTGAAAGACCAGCCAATGAAAGGATCTCATACCAAAACATAATTATAACTACGCTGTTACTCTCGGTTAAATTGTTGGAAATGTACTCGATTATTTATAAAAGCCTATACAATAGCTTAGTTGTTAATTAAAGCCAAATATATTATCATTTCAGTTTGATTTAAGGTGTGTTTCCCCTTTTTAAACCTGATGGTCAACACTTCTTAGAGTTCACAGCCATTTTGCTCTAAACTAGGCGGACCAACACTTATAAAAGTTATCAAGTTGTTATGTTAGTTTCAGTATAGCTAACTTCTTGTGCTATTAGTCAACGTTTCACCAGGTCAACTGCTGTTTTCACCTGGGGGAAATAATTGTATTCACACATTCATTCATTCATTAGACCTTTCTCAGGCATCATCTACTTGCAGAATACACATGAACACACCTCAAATCACTCATGTCAGAAAAAAAAGGCTGCAGAAATGAGTCCCTAAAACCCTGAAATGAGTCAGTTTGTTGCACTTCTCTGGTTGTGGAGTAAATGTGGGGTTTCAGTTAGACGCCTGTGGTTAACACATTGGATCGTTGTACCCCATCTGTCTTAAATAGGTGGTTGGTATGCAGACATCGCTGTAGATTTTTAATGGGATGTGTCAGAGCCGTACAAAATCCAAATATGGGCAGTAGGTTGGAGGCTCGATCGAGGAGAAAGCAGCGAGCATTGTGATAGGCTGAGAGACCTGACGATGTGTGTGGTGTGTGTGTGTGTGTGTGTGTGTGTGTGTGTGGGTGTGTGTGTGTGTGTGTGTGGTGTGTGTGTGTGGTGTGTGTGTGTGTGTGTGTGTGTGTGTGTGTGTGTGTGTGTGTGTGTGTGTGTGTGTGTGTGTGTGTGTGTGTGTGTGTGTGTGTGTGTGTGTGTGTGTGTGTGTGTGTGTTTGTGTGTGTGTTGTTGTGTGGTTGTGTGTTGTGTGTGTGTGTGTATCACATAGTGTTGCCAGAGCTACTAACCACAAGGAAATTCAGGGACATCGGGAGCTTTCGTGTGTGTGTGTGTGTGTGTGCGTGCATGCGTGCGTGCGTGCGTGCGTGCGTGCGTGCCACATACTGTTGCCAGAGCTACTAACCACAAGGAAATTCAGGGACGTCGGGAACTTTCGTGTGTGTGTAGGGCAGCCAGAAGTTAAGGTCGATGCCAGGAAGTACATTCTTTGGCAGCGCACTGGCAGTCAGACGCCACTCAGGAACACAATGTACGGCACTCTGGGTGCAGCAGAACCAGCGGCCAGAGATTAAGCCACACACACACACACACACACACACACACACCACACATACAGTCAGAAACACACACACACCACACACACACACACACACACCACACACACACACACACACCACAGGCGGTTAGCAGTAAAACAGCTTTGTCATAGCTCTGCAGTTACCTCATTTAGGAAACTGTGGTTTCTTATTTGGCCTTGGTGGTGATTGACGTCTCCCTCCAGCCAATGAGCTGCTGACTCTGCCCTCCAGGCTGCGGCCCTGTTAACACTGCAGTTGCTACATTGCATTAATGCTTAAGATTCACTCCACTTGTTAATGTTCCCTCAGCCAATGAGAAGCTATCTCTCCTGGAGGACACATTTCTCACAACGCTCACACTCTGCGTTCAGCGCCTGTGATTTATCCTGCTCATATGCCGAGTCCTTTGATATATAAATACTGCGAGAGATCAGAAATGCACATATTCAGAGACTGTGCCTTTAAACAAGGACTTCCTTTATCTTCTGATGTCACCACTGGACATATATAGGTAGAAAGTGCTGTCACAGTCATTGCATGGCTGATCAAATCTGACCAATCAGTGCAGGCTGGGTTATTTCAGGAGGGGGGGCTTAAAGAGATAGGTGCTTCGGAGTGAATATAAGCAGTTCAGACATGGCATAAGAAAAAATGCTTGACTTTAAAGCATGCAAACCAAAATATACGTATGAACCTGGAAATGAGCATAATAGGTTTTTTGCATACATTTTCGAAGTTGTTATTGGTAGACCTGTCAAGCAATTCATCTGATTATCGACATACTTTGTGATGAACTAATCTAAATTGATCACCTAAATGTGTGACAGTACAATGATTGTGGATCAGCTAGAGCTTGTGTAGAGTCCACTGTTTTGACCAGTGTGTGAATATTTCCATTATGCTGCAATTCCCCTAAGCCCTGCTGCTTAGATTGCACTCCTAAAGGGAAATGCATACGAAACAGTCTTTAGGTATTCCTACAAATACTATACTCAGCAGATTAGGTTGACATTTGACCTTTAAAAGGACTGGCAGATTTGTTTTAATAGACACATAATGGTGTGATTGGAGGAGAGAAGTAACTTGAGGTTCATGGTTACATTTTTAATCAGATAAAGGAAGTAAAAGGGAATGCAAAGTGCTTTTTTGGAAACACTTGAAGCGGCAAGAGGCAGATTTTCTCGTTGTACGCTTAAAGTATCATTAAAATCCTTACTCCCGATCGAGTGTAAGTTTACAGATGTAATTATTAACAGGGTGTCGCAGCTAGGAAATGAGAAGGAAACACAGTATAATCCTCCTGCAACTTTAACGTAATTTAATGTTTAATGTTTAACGTAACATTCATTTGATTATGTTTGGAATCTAAAGGTATGTTTGGAAGCATTGTTGATTGAAGTCACCTGAATAGCATCTGTCTTACATCAAAACACCTACTGTAATGTACGTCTTATCTTCTTGCTGATAGTATAATGATCTTATGTGGGTCATATCAAAGCATCAAGACTGTTTCATAATGAGTTCAAAGTTACACACACTCAGTAGAAACCAGTGGAAATCACCTGCTTGTTTGATGTGAGTGTGACCCTCCAGATGATTCACCATCAGCACTGGACACTTTTACTAAATAACTCATTACACATTCCTGTAATTGACAAAAGCACTGTGTGGTTTCCAGATCTGAGGAGAGATACAGATGATTTGTTCGGCACATGTGTGTGATTCATGGCTTCCTGTGTCGCCTCGTGTGATTTTATTTATGCTGAATGGCATTTATGTAACGTCTCTCTCTCTCTATGTCTCCTCGGGGATTGTGAGGCTGGTTGGCTGTTCATCACCAAGGACACAAGAGATGCTGTCCATCTCACACACACTTCGTATCTAACGATGTGCTCTCCTTCTCTCACACAGGCTTTACTGTAACTTCACACGCTGCAGATGGGCTTTTGAATTTGGGATTATGTGACGCACAACTGGCAAAAAAAAG